GCGTAACCCCTCCACAGGCCGTGGCGGAGTAGCGCAGTTGGTAGCGTCCTCACTTCCCATGCCAAAGGTCGCGGGATCGATCCCCGCGTCCTCCACAGGCGAATATATTTTTTAATCCTTTATATTAAGTTCGCTGCCACGCATATAAAGGATTTATAGTGAAAAACTTTGTTTTTACGGGTTATACTTATGCTCCAGTATGCTGGGAGCTTAATCTTTTATTGAATTCAGGAACACACGGTACAGTCTGAAAAAACGTCTGAAAGATCAAAGTTGTTTCGGGTAAATTTTTCAGTGAAGTAACAAGAATGAGTTTGTATCAACGTGAAATATCGATTTAGAAAACTTTCAATCTTTCTTCAGGTGCTGAGACTCTTTGTGTCAAGTTGTCTGAGAAATTACAGACAAAAACATCCAGCAAAGTGATAGTGGCACACATGCCTCTTTTGATCTGCTGTCTGCAGGTATGGTCTTTTAGGAGAAATTGTGAAAAATGTTTCTATTCTTCGATTTCATTTAAAACATGACAGATGTTCAATGCCATAAATAACTTTTGTAGACTTATTAATGACTCTACAAAGTTGCATTGACAAATAATATGTACATCAGTATGCCTCTGCATGTGTGTTAAATGTGGTAATGTTTTAGCATGCCTGACAGACACTAAGGGATAGCTCACCGATGTGCTCTTAGATTGTACCCCATATTTGGTATGAGGTGCGTCGTTTTGCTCCTCATGCTGATAATATACATTGCATATAATGTAGAATATTTAACATTATGAATAAGCCCCCAGGACGTGGGCCAAAAAAACTACGTACAACCTGGAAACACATCGGGAGACTGTACAGTACACAGTTGAATTGATGTTTTATATTTTAACACACCCCTATGTGCGTGCGGATCATCAGGGCTTAGGAAGGCTCTGTGAGCGCTTCCCATCTGTGTCCAACTCCGTGACTGTGTGTCTGCGGGACTTCCTTGTTGTTCCGTCCCCCGTGCTGCTCAAACTCTACAAGCTCCACTGCCAGTTTCAGAGTGGTAAGGAGATGGGTAAGCCATAATAACGTATTTAATTATTGCCTCATGTGTTAGGGAGAGTCTACTTCAAAGGGCATAGAAAAACATAAAAGCATGTATCTTGTGTTACGACAGGATTTAATTGTAATTAACCTAATCGTAAATGCCATGGATTTTGTGTGTGCGTGTATTTATCACTTACGTTGATGCCGTATTTTTAGGCTGCAGTGTGACGCAGGACTTAAAAGAAGCAAAGGCATGCTTAATTCCTATTCGTTGTAAATGCCTGTGTTTGTAATAACTGTATGTCATGCCTAATTGTTTTATTAGGAGGAAATGACATAAAGATCAGTGTGACGAATGAGTTTGCGGAATCCACTGTCAATGTTGTGGCGAGCAAGAAGATTCAGCCGTCAATGTATGAACAGCTGAGGGATATGGCTATTGACAACATATGCAGGCAAGTCATTGACAAAATTTAAAATTTCTGTCAAACACTAAATCAAGAATTGTGGCTCTAGTCAAACTATCCACAAGAACTATTTACATTTTATTATAGTGCAAATGTATGATTGACAATCATCACAAACTAAACATGAATACTATGAGCACCAACAAAAGCAAGTATGACATCTGTATATAAGCCTTAATCAGCAACAACGGCTCATTCCGAATGAATGTAATTCCTACATTTTGTATAATCTTCTTGGTTCTTTCGGTAAAGTCACGTAGAATGGAAATAATAAAATAATAAAAATATAACATAATAAAATAATTCTCACGACGTTTCGGCCACAACACAAGCAGCCGTCCTCAGGTGAAGAACAGGTCTATCGAGAAGACAGAGTCTGAATTTCATTCAGACTCTTAATTTCATTCAGACTCTGCCTTCTCGACAGACCTGTTCTTCACCTGAGGACGGCTGCTTGCGTTGTGGCCGAAACGTCGTGAGAATTATTTTATTATGTTTTATTTTAATTATTTTATTATTTCCCTTCTACGTGACTTTACCGAAAGAACCAAGAAGATGAATCCCTGCAGTCACGAAAGCTTTAAATCGAAATTTTGTATAATGTTACGCGTAATGCAATGCAATTTTCAGAGCCCTCAAGGGAGGTCTTATCGAGGAGCCAGTGATTGTGGAGGCGTTTCTTGCTACACTCTCCAACCGTCTCTACACTTCTCAAGACAATGAAAAGTAAGTCTGGTTTATGTGATTGGTATTAATGAAGTAATGTAAATCTAAAAGTATGTATTGCATAATAAGTAATATACAGAGTTCGTTGATGTGGGTTTGCCTCTTTGAGTATGCGGAATTTTCAATGAGAATGTAAAATGATAATGCATTTAATACAGGAATGCCTTACTGAGTCTAAAGACACCTTTTATGAGGCATTGCATTAGGAATTGTATTTATTTCAGGTAATGAGTGTTTGGCATGTGGAAAGGAAATAGGAGTACCTGGAAAAAACCCACACATATAATGGGGTAACACTCGACAATGCTCAGTGTAGATAGTGAAGAATTCATTAATGTACTGCCATATTTTGCCATTCCCAAACTTACAGCACCTGGAATTCCCAGACAGTTTCCAATCCTACTACTAACCAGGCCCAAAACCTGCTTATTAATTCATAGGGATTTTAATGATTTGGTGATGTAGGCGAGTGATGAATGATGATGCTTGATGGTTTTATTTAAAGGAGTGACGATGTGGATAATAATTATGATGTTGATGCTACTGTTGCTGATGATGTATGTTGAAAATTATGGCTGATTTAAGGTGTTGATAAATAATTTGTTAGCGATGCAGATTTTGGTGTTGGTCGCAGGGCTCATGATGTTGGATACTGATGTTGGTACTGATAATGGACGAGATTCTTATTCTTTAATAATAAAACAAGAAATTAGCATGGGAAAATCTGCATTGTTACAAAGTGCTTTGTGTCTGTTGGTGGTGTTTAGAGATGGCCAGCTGATTCACGAGCACACAATCCGCGCCTTGGGGCACATCGCTGTGTCTTTGCGTGACACCCCACGCACAATGGAATCCATCTTGCAGATTCTCCAGCAGAAGTTCTGCCAGCCGCCCTCTCCCCTTGATGTCCTCATCATTGACCAGCTGGGGTGCATGGTTATTACTGGCCCTGTGAGTGTCTATATCTCTAATTTCATCCATGTAATTAATTTGTGGAATTGGGTTGGATTTAATCTACATTTGTGATATATGTCAATTTTTAGAACTCATGTGAAAGCTATATTACCTCGTGCTAATCGGAGGTGTGGGAAACATGTACACAAGTTAATGGCTTCAGCTCTTCACAGTGTAAATGACAGTTAATTGGATGATGAAAGTTGTATCAACTTTCGTGTGTATTATGCTATTAATATGTGTAGTGGATACATTCACACTTAATGTTTGGCTTTAACTGAGTTTATTTCACTCCTGAGACAAAGAATAATTTATTTATTTTAAACTCGATTATTTTTTTATTGCACACCGATCAGATGCTTAAACCCATTTTTTGTTTATTTATATTTCAGCAACACATCTACCAGGAAGTACTGAATCTTTTTCAACAGATCAGTGTAAAGGCCAGCTCTGTTGTTTATTCACAAGCCAAGGATATGAGAGACCATGGCTACAGGTTGGTGTACCACTCTTAAGTGACGTTTTGCAGCCGGAGGTCATGCTGGTATCGCTTTTTGGAACATTGATATTATTTTACGACAATGGTTTTGACCGTCAAGTGGACCAGTGGCACAATGGTTAGCGCTTTGCGCTCCAAACCTGGCGAACTAAGTTCGATTTCCAGGCATGGTTAACGTCGGTGGCGAATTATATCTGGACCAATTCTGGGCCTCTTTGCACCAACTCCCACTGGCCAGTATCATGAAGTATGATCAAATAACACCCAACATGGGGAGGCCTTAATCCATTTGTGGATTGACATAGGACTATAAGTCATAATATAAACCATCAGAGCACCATTTTGAAAAAAATGTGTTGTACTGTCGTTGCTGTGTATTTCGATTTCATGCTTAATCTGTCATTGTTCCTGGTCATATCATGCTTAATGTATAGTCAATATTGACCCCCATTTAAGAGTTTTGGTGTGCACACAATAGCTACAATAATAGAAATTCCCTGTTGGTAGCAATTATAAGTTTATTCAAAGTATTCTCCCAAGTGATTTAATGAAAGGTTACGATTAATTTCAGGAATCTACTATTTTTAGACATTGCGTTGAATTTAGCGGCCACATCAGCCCTCGGCACGTAACACATCCGAATCTTTACATTCACTGTGTGCTTACGAATCAATATGAATCAGTATGAATCCATGCATCGTTACAACACGCCTGGTTAATAGGTAAAGTGTGTGTGTGTGTTTTTTAACAAGGCATTGTTCTGTGGCGGTCATCAATGCACTGGCAAACATCGCGGCCAACCTGCAGGGGGAGCAGCTGGTCGATGAGCTGCTGGTCAATCTCTTGGAGCTTTTTGTGCAGCTGGGCCTGGAAGGAAAGCGTGCGAGCGAGAGGGCCAGCGAGAAAGGCCCTGCCCTAAAGGTACCACCAACAGCGGTGTATCTATAAAATACACAGGCGGTACATTTGCTCCAGTGCCCACTCTCCTACTATTTACATTTTTTTTATTTTACCAGGTAAGGCCCACTCGGCTATATAGTTATTTTTTCCGAAGCAACCTGGCCACAAATCATAGCTCAGTGGAGTGGCTTATCACGTGGAAATGTAGAGCAGCCAAATACTCGTAATGCACGTTTATTCCAAATTGTGGAAAGAAAAACCAGAGGACCCATAGAAAAATCGATGCGACCATGGGGAGAACATACAAACTCAAAATATACAGGTGTCAGGGTCGGGCTCGAATCCACGACCTCCTGTATACCACGCAAGGTAGTTAACATCTCGGGGAGGGGCCCAAGTTCCAGGCAATGAAACATGGGGAAAGGTGGAAAGGAGGGGGGAGGGCTTTATTTAATTCCTGGCACCATTGCCCATGCCAGCCACACTTACACCACTGACCGCCGGTACACATCCCCAAATGGCAATGCCAGCATGGGCCTTGGGTGGTTACAGCAACACGTGGAGGAACACATGATTTCTTTTCACGTCTTAGGTTTTTTTTAATGGGTTGCATTAAAACGCGATGGAGCAGTTGTGGCACAGTTGTTTGCACACCGTGGTATGAACCGGGTGACCTGAGTTCAATTCCCAGTCGTGGCTAACACCAGTGGCCGGTAATATCTTAACGAGTCCTAGACCCCTCTCCCTTCACCTACCTGTACTGGCTATCGTACAGAAGTATGGTCAAACAAACCCCATAACCGACATGGCTATGGGGAGGCCTTCAAATATGTTTTTTATGAGTACAACATGTGATCAAAACTCGCATTGCAAACAATTATAGATTTGTGATATTAATTGATACTGATATATAGTTAAATCATAACTTCAAATTACGGCAAAACATGTTTACATTAATACCGTTTCATATATAGCATTTTCAATCCTTCCATGCCATTGTGGGATGTTAAGTTATGATTTGCTGTCACGTGATATGGTTTTCAAAGATAAATGCTCTTGTTTTTATTAACAAAAGAGCCTTCGCGAACCATGCTACAGAAGAGAAAATGCTAAATATAAAAAAGTAATACTCTTGTTATATCATCATCAGCCATGATCTATCTGCTGCAGGATGAAGGCCTTCCTCAACCCATTGCCATGGATTCATGACTCCATATCATTAAATATAGCGTTAAAATATGTCATTATGTTTTGTTGTGTTTTATTGTTTATACGTTTAATTGAAATGCTGAAGGTTAATCATTTTAAAGTGTACATTTTAACCATAGGGTTATGAATGTGTTTGAGGCAAAGTGGGCAGCTGGTTAAAATGTAACTCGGTATTATTTAAAAGGCCAGTAACTCTGCAAGAGATAAGTTTGTTTGTGACATTCCATGTGATAATGTTTCAAACAAAAATGAGATAACAAGGACCAAAGTGCATTTTTCATGATAAGGCTGTAAATCAATCTATAATTGTCATTTTTACAACGTTTGTCTGTAGTTAAAATGTGGTTGATCCTTTTTTATAGTTGATATGCTTTTCGTAATAGGATATTGTTGTTGAAGTGATCGCATATGAGTAGAATATACTATTCAACTTCAATACAAAATATGAACTGGTGTTACCTATGCTGAGAAGAAGTTAAATTAATAGGGAGGAAATATGTTTAAAATTAAATACTTGTAGATTTTCGATGTTTTAGTTTGTTGCTTTTTTAGAATCAAGCTTTTATTTGCATCCACTTGTAAATGCAATAAAATATATATAATCATAAATTCTAAATTAATTTGTTCACAATTGTTTCTAGAAGCCTCAAGCATTAACGTTTGCCAAATGGGAAATAAATGTTTACTAATAATGAACGTGGTTGTTTACAGGCCTCAAGCAGCGCTGGAAATTTGGGAGTACTAATTCCAGTAATTGCTGTGGTAAGTACTAACATCTAATTCTTTATTATTAAATTATTGAAGTATATATTAATTTAATTATCTCTACGACATCATAAAGATATTTCATGGAGAAATGGAATGGGATTATCATAACGAACAATAAGATAATTTGTTACGACACTATTCTTTGCAAAGCATCATGGGAGACATTGACAGCATCTGACTCACCACAGGACACTTTTATGTCATACTCTTAGTTTTTTCGGTAAAGTCACGTAGGTAAAAAAATGAAATTAAAATGATTTTTTTACCTATGTGACTTTACCGAAAAAACTAAGAGAATGGATCCTTGCAGTCACGAAAGCTTCAAATCTAGAACTTTAATGTCAGTTTGGTCTGTATAATAAAACCCCAGATTGATTAAGTTAAATAAACATAGTACATTATTTTAATGAAATTCAAAGATGATTTTATTTCACATTTAATGCAATACCACTGCCTAAAGGTAAATTAAATGCTTAATATACTGGATAAAAGTGAGATGGCATGGGTGTGGTTTAAACTAATCCTCACCATGCGATACCTCTTAAGTGCTGCTGTCTGACATCCTGTCTTGTTTCTCAAATAGCTCTTACAAAGTTCTTGTTTTATAGATTCAGCAGAGCTTTCCTTGTAAATAATGTTGTTTGGTTTGGCTCACTTGTAAAATGACATTGAAAATCCATCATGCGTTCTCTGCACTTTTTAAATCCTTTATATTAAGTTCACTTGCTTGCTTGCGCGCTTACGACCGTTCAAATCTTTCGGTCGTTTTTTAACCCACTTCCCGTTATCCAATCGAGTTGACATTTTGCACACAGACTCGTTGTGCGTGACAATTTATTTTCGTGAAATTTTTTTTCCTAAATTTTACACTTTTTAGGAAAAAATTAATTATATTTAATTACCAATTGCTTAATGGTGGCAGGCAATCATCTGACCCATAGGTGGCAGCCATCTCAAGCCAGAGGACGAGAGGACTCTAGCCGCCACGCATATAAAGGATTTATAGTGAAAAACTTTGTTTTTACGGGTTAACTTTTTTAGCCCTTACCTATACGTGCATACTTTTGTTTTTTATTAAACCTTGTTCAGTTCTTAGCTGGGTTGGACACCTGGCCCAAGAAAAGCACACTCATAGTGTGATGCTCGTAGACAATGAAAACAAATGGGCGGTCAGCAACGAAGCGGTTGTGGGATGTGAGCGGCGTGAAGCCAACTGTAGTGACGGCCGCTGCTTCGCTCCCCTCCTCGTCAATCTTTATGAAGCCCTGGTGCTGGAACTGGTGTCAAAAAGAAAAATGCACAGCTTAGCACCCTCTAAATGAGCGCAATGTAATGTTACGTATCTTTCATGAAAGTTACATGTTTTTTTGTTGTTCATATATACGTCCGATTAGCATGGTTGGTTACGTACGGTGCGAAAGAAGTTCAACATACATATACACACACGTATGGCACTGTGGTCAATCCAGTGCCAGATGAGAGCCTCCCCAAGCCGTGCGAGTTATGGGGGGTAATTTGCTCACATTTCCCCATACTGTTCAGTGCGTGTTGGTGAGAGTGTGCAACATAGATTAGGCATAGTATAGTACATCAAAGGATTTTGCTGTAACACCCTCAGCTCACAATGTGGTTAGTCCCACAGCAACCTATAATACCGGTTTTATGAAGGCGGTCACCAATCTAAGCCCTATCCAGGCTCAACCATGGTTGTCATCTGAGATCTGACTAGATCAGGCACATTCCAGGTAATTTGGCCAGAAACGTACTTGGACTCATATCTGCTATTTAGGTAAGAGCACCATACCGAGCTAACTTGCACATCCTTGGCACCAGTCATCCCAGACAGGTCTGCATTGGCTTGGAACAACTCGGTCACTCCCATCTCTTTCAAGTTATTTTTGAGATCGTACTTCTGCTGCAAGTTGAATTTGGGAATGATGACATCGCGTGTTCTGCAAACAACCAAAGAAATAGTACATTGAGTACTCTGTTTGCTTTTTAAATCCTTTATATTAAGTTCGCTTGCTTGCTTGCTTGCGTGCTTGCGTGCTTGCTTGCTTGCTTACGACCGTGCAAATCTTTCGGTCGTTTTTTAACCCACTTCCCGTGATCCAATTGAGCTGACATTTTGCACACAGACTCGTTGTGCGAGACAATTAATGTTCGTGAAAACATTTTTCCAAAATTTTACACTGTTTAGGGAAAACAAATTAAATATTTTATTACCAATTGCTTAATACTGGCAGACAATCATCTGACCCATAGGTGGCAGCCATCTCAAGCCAGAGGACGAGAGGACTCTAGCCGCCACGCATATAAAGGATTTAGAGTGAAAAACTTAGTTTTTACGGGTTATACTTTTTATAATTTCGTTTGTACATCACAGCCTGGCATCAAGGAATCATTCAGTGTTTGCAGGAAAAAAGCCATAAAAGTACAAAGCATACATTTCATGATGATTTTTTTTCTCTCTAGGCATATATCATATCATTGTGATTAAAGAAGAAAGGATTTTTATTGAGCCGGCACAGAATTGAAATCACTTGCTTACCTGTTAGTCATTGCTTGGAGCCACTTCTCTAGGAGATCAAAGGAGAGGGCACGTTCCAGTGTTTTGAGGCCACCCTTCAGCTTGTGTGGTACTGCCAAAATCATGCTCACATTGCCCTGGTAGGCAAGCTGGAGGATATCACAGCCCAGCTCATGGTCCGTGGTAACCAAAAAGCTCGCCTTGGTTTGCATCATTTGAACCTTGACGGACTCTTTGTCGTTCAACCGAAATGACCGCATGGAGGTCTGATGTTTTGAGAACTTAATCTCCCATGGCCCTGGAAAATACAGATTTGAATCATTTTTTTAATGAAAAAATTTCCCAAAGTATATTTTGATGGTTAAGAAAAGTATGTGGGCTTGGGCAGCACACGTCGCTAAAAAGGATTATGGCCAGTGGTAAAGACGTATGTCGGAGTAGCATTCAAAGGAGGGAAAGAACCATGTGGCCAAGAGAATGGCCACCGTGGAGATGGAGCAATGATATCGGGATGTAATGATGCTAGATGGATGTTTGCACTGCATCTGCGAGGGATGGCGATGGCTTGCAAAAGCCTCCATCCTGCAGTCGAAGGATCGTGGCTGATGTTGATCATGATGATACATATGTATGTGGAACTTCTTTCGCGCCGTACGTAGCCAACAAGTGCTAATCGGAGGTGCGGGGGAAGGACAACAAACTAAACACGAAGAGTATTTCGATTTAAAGCTTTCGTAACTGCAGGGATTCATCTTCTTGGTTCTTTCGGTAAAGTCACGTAGAAGGGAAATAATAAAATAATAATAAAACATAATAAAATACAATTCTCACGACGTTTCGGCCTTCCGACAGACCTGTTCTTCACCTGAGGACGGCTGCTTGCGTTGTGGCCGAAACGTCGTGAGAATTGTATTTTATTATGTTTATTTTTATTATTTTATTATTTCCCTTCTACGTGACTTTACCGAAAGAACCAAGAAGACAAAGAGTATTGCTAGGTATTCAAATGTACACTACTGTACCTTTAAAATACACGCTGTTGATGACCAGGAATACGGTGCTCGGATCAATGTTGGTCACCGCATCGGATATTGTCCCCTTGGTGACACTTGACACCCAGTGACTGATACGCTGCACTGTCGCAGGGTCTTTAAAGTCAACAGTGTGAGCCTCTGCAAAGTATGTCTTCCGGAGGCATTGTTGGTAGGATGGCAGCAGAGGCCACCTGCGTTGTAAATATAGGGCACTTGCAGACTTGAGCGTGTAGCCAAAGTTGTGGCGAAAAAGGCGGTGATTCAGCCTGTGAAAGAGCTTGTGCACGGTCGAAATGTTGTACTTGGAGCTAGAATTTACCAGGCTCTGTAAACAAAAACAAATGAACAACATACAGATGTATTTCTTATTAAAAAATTGGATCTTTTTATATTAAAAAATTGTATATTAGTGATGAGTACGCTCGCACGGCTGAGGCTCTGGCTGACGTTGAATCTTCATCTAATTGCCATTGTGTTATGCCACCCAATATCTGGTGGTATATAAATCTCTGAGTAAATGAGATACTAATATTAAGATAAAATATCAATAATGTACATCGAGTCATGTAAAATAAATAGTATCTCTGGTATGCTGTAGAAACTCGTGTAAGCTCTCGAATGGACTGCTTGTGCAAGCTTATGTTTATGTTTAAATCTTGCCTCATGTCACTAAAATCTATTGTTATTGTTCATTTTGTTGAACGTCGTCATTGATGTGTAGCCTTCACCAATGTGCTGGGTAACATTTCACTTTACCTCGAACCCTAAGGCTCTGTAGATTTCTTCATGTGTGCCTCCATTTGCTCCGAGCGATATCATGCCCAAGGTAGAAGAGATGCCCAGAGGAGCCAGAAGGAGGTTCTCCCCAGGTGGAGTGGACTCGCTTACGGATCGGTACAGATTGAATGCGAAGTCGCTGTTGACAATGGAGAGTCGCTGGATACGAGTTTTCCCCTGGAATCTTCTCAGGAATAACTTTTTATTGAATGATGCATCCACTAGCTGTGGGATATTAAGTAAGACTTCAGAGATGTTCACATGTTAGCACGGTTGGCTACATACAGTGCGAAATAACTTCAACATGCATACATATATATTCTCGGGTCTTTTGGTAAAGTCACGTAGATAGGTTCACATGCATGCAGATATTTCCCTTATGACATTTTAGGACGTGGGAATCTATACGTATAGACAGTTCTGGGTATGCAACTTATAATTGTGTTCTCTAAGGGCTAGGAAACTGAAATATGATGCAAATATAGTCCAGTGTATGCTTTTAACTATTAAAAAAATATGTTTCACTTTGAACCCCCAAATATTACAGGAGGTTGATTGGTTTCACTCAACTAAAGTTATTAAAATGCTTCAAGTCTCATACTAAGCACTTAGACGAATATGGTGCTCATCACTGAACCAATTAATAACGACTCCCATCACGTGTGACGATGCCAATAGAGAAATGGGTATGTAATCATAAAGTTTTACTCGCTGGTAAATCATGGAACTTTTTTTATTAAAAGTCTCCATTATTAAATATTTGCCAATTTTGTATAAAAAAATGTATAGTCAAATTGAAACCTTTTATGTTATCCAAATGTAAATAGTTGCAAATGAATCATGTGGATTAACTGCCGCTTTTTTTTATGAAAATGAATTGGTGTGGCAGATTTTTTTCATCATTCATACATTTCCTAGATGGTTAGCTATTCTTTGAATTAATTTAGTGCTGCAGTGGGAAGCGTGCATCATCAGAAAGTGTCTATCGACATACGTCTTTAATTTGAGTACTAAAACTCAACGTGAAATGTAATATATCTTCAAACCAACTTTTTCTGCATTAACTGTCACGCCGGTGGAGCCATCTTCATTTATGTCATCGATTTCGTCTGGGTAGTCCTCATCTTCATTCAGCAGCTTGTCAAAATCGATGTAGTCTTCAATAGAATCCTCATCTGTGAAACCGTCGAGGTCCAAAGCTAGTGTGTCATCCATATAGGAATCTGAGGGTTTGTTTGGGTACCTGCAATGTAATATTATGCCAACGCACTTAGACAAAAGCCCATCACAACATCACTTGGAATGCAACGGCTCTATTACATGTCGGAAGTGAAACAGGATTAATCTCGTTTTGTGCTTGGATTTGTGACCGCCACGCATTAAACAATTGTTATAGACTGCTACAGGGGCTGCATTGTTTGCAGAGGGCAGTGCAGCAAAATATGCTGTTGTACTATACTATGTTCCAATGTAAGTGCTCCCTGCTTTCACCAACTTAGTGACCAGCTTGGTGAAATTTGGTCAAATAACCCACATGGCATGGAAATGCCCTCATCTGCAGTCGATTGCAAAAGAGCTATTTATGTACATTTACTACGACGTGGGCTGTCAAGAGTGTATAAGTAAAAAAAACATGCTTTTGATCATATAATATAATTCAGTATAATTGCAATTTTTTCTCTCTAGGTTTAGCGGTACCCTCTGTGCCAACTCATAACTAGGATCAAGTACACAGGAAGGCAACCATATACACAGGTTTATCGATTTGCTTGCTACTTTTGGTTCTTGAGTTAAATGCGGAATCACAGACAAACAATTGTTTTTCAATCCATCAATAGTTGTATGATAATAAAGTTGCACACATTTCAATATATCAATATTAGTGTGATCATCATTTTTTAAAACATTGTTATTTAGCTATCCGTCAATGCTTGTCTTTCGTGAGAAGTCACAAACAACAAATTACTCCGTGAAATGTTTTTCACTCCAATAGATGTGTAATTTTTAAAGGGCACTTTTTTGCTGATTACTTTTTAGGGGTAATGTGCATCATTTTACTATGATAGTTCTCAGGTTATAAGGAGAATAACACACAACGAATCAAAAGTAATATGAGCTGTGTATCTAAGCAAGATGGACACATTTTATTTTAAGTGTACATTTCACATGGTAGAGCAAATGGATAAGAATAAAGCAGTGGCCGGTATTCTTCGGCAATTACTTTTGCAGCCAGTTAGTTTTGTCTTGAGATGTATAGATGTGTTAAATACTTTAGTCATTTGATTAAAAAAACAAACACATTTGTGTAAATACAATAGTCATTCAAAAAAAGCAATCTTTTATTAACAGATCACATTTAGGATGCTTCTCAGATGTTTCCATTGTTGTGATCACCATTATTGCCTTTGTTTTACACAGCTCTTTTAACATCAAAACAACTGACCTTGAAAAAGATAGCTGTGCATCTTTGTTGACATCAACAGCTGTCTTGGTTTGGTCTTGTCCCTCAACCCATTGTAAGAAGCTCAAAGCAAATATGAGCCCATACAGAAACATGGTGGCAGGGCTTCCTTGTTTGGTTTGAAATTTCTATACTGAGCAATACATTATATATAGCACAACATTTAGGAGTCGTGATACAATCACATTCATGTATTAATATTCGTATTATATTTCATAATCACATCCAGAAATGCATCACTGAGTAAAAATAATTCTTCAGGATTGTCCTGCATTTTTGAATCTTTGACAAATTCTATCTTTTTGAGTATTTTGTGTGGTAAGAAACTGGAGTGTACAAAGAGAAACCGCACGCTTATTTATGAGGTGATACTACAGAAAAGGTCCACACAGACCGGTTCCGAAGCGGCAGTCACAAATCTGCGTGATCCACTGAGTTGCCTCCAAATGGCAGGAACACAGACACGTGCACTGCCATGCCCAACAAATGATTGCAGTGGCAGATTGCAATTATAACAAAAAATATATATCGCTTACGTATTTTGTTATCGTACATATTTTACAAACCTGTCCCATATATGTTGAACTACATACATAGTACGAATATTTTAAAGTTACATTTTTGTACAGCGTTGAAATAGCTTAAGTTAACGCAAAAAAAAACCTGTTGTCATTTGTTTTAACTGCCAAATCTGGTTCGGGCTTTGCCTTGTTTCGACAAATGTTGCTGGAAAACATTCCCCAGAAATGTATTAAACACAACCTCCCTGGTAATTTATTATTCAGTCGTGTTTATGTTACTACGTACTTTGTACGTTTAGTCACTACCATATATCAAATTACAAATGAATAGTGGGCCGTGTTAAAATACCAGTTTAAATATACGGTTGCGTTGGAAGTACGATTTTGAAATATTGTAATAAATGAAATATTCTCACCGTATCAATACTTGGAAACATCCGTAGAGGCAGCAGCCTCTGTCATTGCAGACAGGTAAAACATAATAAATACCGTCACTAGATGTGTGGGTGCCTTTCCTTCAGTTTTTCAGATGATGCACAAATATTTGTCACTGCAGATATGACATTTTGTACCAGGGTCAGCACTTTTTTTTCACAATACCAGCCCGTATGTATCATCGGTCAGCTTTAAAATATGTTTTATGTATTCGGCTCAGCTGCACATATTTACATAGTTTTATAGTGATGGTGTTATGGAAGTGTGTATGTTTTGTATTCCATCAAGAGCAGTAAGTTAACCTTATCCGGTTTTGCAGTTGGAGAAACATACTTGACATTTATGAGTAAATTTGCAATTACATGTATTTCTGGTGATCTAATTTATTAAAAAGCATATTTGAACTTTCATGTATTTAGGTCGATAGGTTAATATGTTGCAGTCAGTGAATATATTTATTAGATGTATATGGATGCGTTGATTCATGGATTTGTTTGTTTTTAAGCCTTTATACTTGTAGAGAATGGCTTTTTTTCGATTTGTATATGTTCTATGTAATGGGTTCATTTCACCCCCGAAAACCACGAGTGACTGATTCACTGACCAGGAAAGGTAAAAATGAAATCGAAGTTTTTCACTCAAACGAGAGCACTCCTATTCCTTTTCATAACCCCTGATCCAGAGGGCATCACAATCCTCTGCCATGGATGCCACCAAACACCACAGTTGTTTCTCTCCGCTAAATCCCATAATTGTTGCTAAGTCCATAGTTTATTTCTAAAGTCAGCTATTACAGTATCCTACCACTGTATCTGGCTTAAATAAATATACATGGCAAACATATTTTGATAGCTTGCTCAAACAAATGCTGTTATGAAACATAAGTCAAAACAGCTAATAGACCTATGAACTGTTACCCACAATGCATTATGAGTTTTATATCTGCTAGGCTTTTGCTTGCACTTAATTTCCTATCTGAGGAAACTACTGTCCTCTATCCGATACCACCTTTTGTAATCTCCTCTTCCTGACTACATCTACAACAATTGATTGTGTTGTATATGTAATCCAAACCTAAGTGCTTCGCCCCAGTGCCTTAAACTGCCAACATCTATGGTGCCCGCTTCAAAAATGTAGCTATAAAATCTTAATCATCTACTCCTAGTCTGTCAGTTTCAAATGACCTATTATCATCCGTGAGTGCTGTTTATCCAATTCTTGCTTTTTGTGAATATGTGGTGAAGAACAATATTGAACAAAGTTGGCAACAAAGTATACGTCTGATCAACACCAGTCCTCTTTCAGTTGTGCATGTTCTTAAGTGCCCTCTTGCCTTACAATTAGTGTTATAACAACATAGAAGTTCTCCTGAACTTTTGCTACAAACAAAATCACGTACTTGCTTAAAGTTCACGAAACAAACCAAGGATATTGCATTTCATCTCAGATGTTTTCTTTCACCTGCCTGACTAGATATTGCATTGCTACAACACATATTCTTGGTTCTGTTGGTAAAGTCACGTAGATAGAAAATAAAAATACATTTATTTTTAATTAGAATTTTCTTTTTTATCTACGTGACTTTACCGAAAGAACCAATAATACGAATTCCTGCAGTCACGAAAGTTTAAAGTCAAAATTTGCTACAAAACCTTTCTGCTGTAAATTCACCCTGGTGTTCCCATAAGCACATTTATATTTGCTTATTTGTTCTGCTCCACAAAGCTCTGGTAAGCACCTTTCCTCGTATTCTCAGTAAACATATTCCTTGTCTATCATTTTTCTTATGTAATAGTATTATAGTGGCCTATTTCCAATCCTGAGGAAACTGTTTCTGCATGCTTTACTGCATGTAGCCTCACGAGCGTATGTTGGTCCCCTCCTCATTCAACCATGCAGTAGTTCCTTCTGCCTTCGAAGGTTTAATCTCAATAATCTTATCTCTGAAGTTACTTATTTATCCATTTCTTGAGCATTGCCTGCCTTTTGTAAATTAGTTTTCCTCTCCTGCTTGATGCTTGCTCGGTGATTGAGAGACTCGTGACACACTTAAACCTTATTACCACAAGATAAATTCACACTGCCTACGGATGTACAGTCATACCTCGGGATACGACCGCTTTGGAATACGTCGAATTTGGTATACGTCGTGTTTTGACGAGAAAAAAATGTCTTGGGATACGACGTCTTGCTTGGGAAACGACGTCTTGCTTGGGATACGACGTCTTGGGATACGACATCTTGCTTGGGATACGACGTCTTGCTTGGGATATGGCGTATTGACCTCTTGCTTGGGATACGACATCTTGCTTGGGATACGACGTCTTGCTTGGGATACGACGCGCTTGCTAGAACTTGTATGGGTCGGGATGAGTCACCGCGTCCCCGCGTAGACCCCGTTCACGACTGAAACAAAGCGCCGCTCCTCAGTCTGCCTGTACAGTAGTTTTAATGGAAGGGGACTCTCCTTCCAAAAATAGCATCTCCTCCTCCTCCCCTTCCTCACCACCATCCACGTAGGCTATCAACTCCTCTCAGCAAGGTAAAGTGATGTTAAATTGTATTTTAATTTAAATGCATTTTTATTTATGTATGCATTTTAGTAATAAGTGCCTAATTTGTTTTATACAACCCCATTAATGTATAATATGCCGTATAAAATATCATTTCTTATACTCTGGAACGGATTATTTCCTTTCCCTTTATTTCTTATGGGAAAAATGTGTCTGGTGTCCGTTATTTTCGCTTTAAGTCCTACCTTCTGGAACGCATTAACGATGTATACCGAGGTACCACTGTAATTGTCTATCACCACCTCACGTGAATCTATATCGCCTTACAGACTCCCAAACAACAGCCTTGTGCATATTTTCTTTACTCACTTAATCAAAGGTGCACATGTGGCCAAACCTCCGTCTGGTCTGTGTCGTACTGTTTTAAACCATGTCTTATCAACTGTGGGGCAATGTTCTTGGTTCTTTCGAAAGAACCAAGAAGATGAATCCCTGCAGTCACGAAAGCTTTAAATCGAAATGTGGGGCAATGGTTTTATACTTCTCATTTTATAACCACCTGTGACTTGAGTGGACTGCAGATACTTGTTGATCTTGTCTGTCTGAGCTTGCCTGGAAAATATGTTTAGAAGACATGGTGTGGTGCTTGGTTTCAGGTAGAGCACTGAGCAGCAGCTACTCATTTGCCAATGTATGTGGATGCTATTTTGATTACTGGGTTCCCATCTGTAATTGGCAATGCTATTATCAAATAAGGATCCCTTTTGTGGTTGTCATTAGCTTATGTATAGTAGGCCTATGTTATTTTGGTGATCCCATGATCGCCACTGCGCTATTGGGGATGCCTTTGGCGACTGGAGACTCATCTATAACATTGGTAGTTATATTACACCAGGGATAGCATATCCTTAAACCAAAACCCCTTTAGCCACTACTTTCACACAATGCCTGTACATGATGCTGCCCATCTCCAGTGGATTTTAGGACCCTCCAGTGGCGGACACTCGAAATTCCTATGGTGGAGTCAGCTATCAATCTATATTCACTTCTCACAAAAGTGCTCAGGGCTGAGTTGAATCCTGATCTTGATTTTAACTCACAACCTGATAGGGAGCTGCCTGCTGTTATCTATGTATGTTGAACGTCTTTTGCACTGTACATAGCCAATCGTGCTAATTGGAGGTACGAGGAAAGGACGACAAACTTAACATAAAAAGCAGTTCTAAAGAAACAGCTCCAGTGGCTTTCTAATATCGGAAGAAAGAGCTTTACAGACGGCCGCAGAAGCGTATCTGAAAGCGCGCGATGCAGTGACCGTCTTTGTTCGATGGCTAGCCAAAAGCCGCTGCGAGGGTGGTAGTGTCTGCTTCTTAATGCGGTTAAGGAGGGAATTCAGATGGTATGTTAACGAAACACTAATTTTGAATTGGATAAACATTGGCGATGTAACATCTGAAGTTAATGAAAGTCGTGAGTGGAGTGTTGTAAGAATTATTTTTTGTGATTTTCTGAAATGCATATGCTTTTGAAGACCAACGAAAGCATATGTTACAATTATTTTACTTCGGACATTATGAAAAATAGTTGATTTCTTTTCTTAAAATAAAGTTAACATTATTATGGACGCAATTTTTTTGAATGCTTTTTTATATCTTCTTTTCTGGAGACGTTTTCACATAGACTTGAGAATAAATTAAACTTTTCATCTTAACGGGATTAAAGTAAACGTGTTTAAAGTGCATTATTGTCCCATGGTTTATATGCATTTTCTGCGTAGTAATTTTATGACTGCGTTGGAAAAATCACTTGAAATACTAGTTATTAGTTTATATTCCCAGTAGTTTATTGCACTTGGAATCAAATCCAGGTTATCGCACACTTATCCCCGGGTATTTTAAAGTAAAATAGAGAGTCTGTCCTATAATCATATGCTTACTCTTTGGTTTTTTCGGTAAAGTCACGTAGGTTAAAAAAATAAAAAAATACATTAAATTGTGATTTAATTTAATTGCTTTCTTTTTTTATTGTTGTTGACGGTTTTTTTTTTATCTGGTACATTTGTGTGTGAGCGAACAGATCTAATTAAATTTATTTGTTTTCTTAACCTACGTGACTTTACTGAAAAAAACAAAGAGCATGGATCCTTGCAGTCACGAAAGCATCAAATCTAGAAAAAATCATATGCTTCTTTTAAAAAACTGGTACCTTACAAATATATTTTTAAATTATGTTCTCTGGCCCCACCGTGTTAAATGCAGTCTCTTAAATCCTTCTTATCTCCATCTCTGTGGCCTTTATGTTTGAGTGCTATGAAATAAGAGGCACTGCCTGAAATGGCACCAATTATATAAATGTATATATTTTTTCTGTTCAGGCAGTGTTGTTGTTGTTGACGATTTTTTTTATTATCTGGTACATTTGTGTGTGCAGTAAACAAATTTATTTTGTGACTTTGTTGACAGAAGCCACACATTTTGGGCATGGCTCTACTTTCTGGAGCATATTATAATCGGGAGAATGTGAATTATAAAAGGTTTGAATAATAGTGTGATTTCTGTGCTGTGTAAGAACATGTGTTGTACTATTGAAGACATTAATTCAAAAATGTAACCAGATCTTGACATTCCTTTGTATCAAAACCAAGAAAGCTTGAAATTCAGAATATAAATTTAAGTATCAAATAACGTTTGAAAAAAAACTGCCCTTAAATGTAGTTATTTGGTTAAATTACAATCGTTAAAGAGACCCTAAGTAAGAAACAAAATGTACTTTTCATAGAAAGCAAATTGTTTCTGTGCGCAATATACCAACGTGCTCATAGCTTATACACATTTGAGTTAACTCTTGAGCAATATAAACATTGTAACCATTTTTGAGGCAAGAAACTCACACGAACTTCACTCCATTTGTTATATATTTGCCTTCCCTAATTACATGTTTTTTTATCATTTAGCAAGGTGTGACGTTTTTTAAACATAAACAACATTTTTTAGAATAATAGTTGAATCAGGAGTTAAATACAGTGATAAGCCTTGATATTATTTGGGACGTTGTCATTTTCGTCTATCAAAAAAACAATTTTGCATACACCTTTTCCCAAAGACATTACACTGCTTGCATGCAACGCGTGGTGTCGTATTTCACAGCTAGTGTTACAAATATAATGTGGCATCCGGATCCATGTGTTCATTTAATTTTGTACATAGTCACGCTTGGATAAGAAAGCAAACATCTGCTAATATTGCATTTTTACAGATTAATTGAAAATAATCAAAACAAATCCAGTATATAAAATAATATTTATGACATTTTTGTACCACTTTGAAGATCTTGAGTAAAATAGGGTGTCTGCCAGTTGTATAACATGGAAGAGATCATTTACATGACTGTCAAGTGGAGAATTATGCAGGTACTAAAATGACAGATTGTCTCTTCTAGTACATTTCCTAGATGGTCGTTTACTCCTCGTGTCGAGCTAAAAGAGAGATCCCTCTGCGGCCAAATTGACCCCAACGTCGCTGCGGCACTTTGCGTATACTTAACAAAATGTGAATGCGCATTGTGATTTGTGTACGCCCTTGCCCGGGGGGGGAGGGCTTTGATCGTGCAATCAGTGCCCTGTGGTGGGGGTTTTGTGCAGGCGTTTGCCGTGCCCGCGGCGACGCTTCCCGTGATTGCCCTCCGCACCCTCCTCTTCCTCCTCGACGGCTGCGTCGGTCGGGTCCATGACCCGTCCGAGGAAGAGCACGGTGCCTGTAGACGTGTCACGAATGAGGAAGAGGAAGGGCCGGTCCACTTTGAACACGGGGTAGATGGGATTGGTACGGGAGAGGAAAACGCCGGTCACCGCCGCTGCCTCCGCCCCCTCCTCCGTTAAGTCCATGGTGGCTACGTGGGTGACGGCAGAAACTATCAGGGGCTCCTCGGATATCTTATGGAAGTCCGGTGCCATGAACAGGTCATCCAAACCTGTAAATAGGTTGGGAGAAAGGGGGAATACACAATGTTATTAATACTATTGTTGATAGCTCAAGAACACATCTACATGTGCGGCCGTTTTGTGCAGTGTGTAATATTTGTGCTTGCCTGCATGCTTGGAATGACACTGAGAGACAAAACAAGCAACATGTGGATTAGCGAACAAATGCAAGTTTTTGAAACATTTACATTCAAGAAAAGTAAGTGGCTTTGGCGGCAGGACGCATCTGTACGAGGCATGGTAGCCAGTGGTCGAAACTTAACAACAGAGTGGCAACCAAATCAGGAAACGGCTTAAAGAGTGAAGCCAACGCAGAGATGAAACGATTAAATCAAGCCATGTGCACTTGTTAGAAGTTATTGTTTGCAGCAGGACCATGGGAGATGGTGACAGCTTAAATAGTGGATTGTTCATTTTTTATTATTGTGATCAATAGCATCATCATGGCTGATGATGGTGATGTATGTATGTTGAACTTCTTGCACACTTTACATAGCCAACTGCGCTAATCTGAGGTGCAGTGCTGATATTCTTGATTTGTATTCAGTTACTTTCGAAGTAAAGGAAATTAAATGATCAATACTTAAATGATTTTACATCTAAACTCGTTGCTAATGACTACAGTACGTATAACATTCAGTGGCTCCAAGAGTAAAAATAGTCCACACGATTCTCCTTTTAAGAAGCTGTCAAACAATATCAACATGATATAGTTTGCAAGCCTACTGGCTATCAACAAAGATTAGTTCATGAAGCCATCCATATATACAGACACAATTTCAACCGAGAAGATGGTTATAAACTCAGCAATCATTCGAAATATGTCATCAACCACTTTGGGTCATCACTTGATTTGTGTTTTCTTGTCAACCTCCACCATCAGCAGTGTGGGTGTGTGGAGCGAGGCGCAATGATTGCTTGGAGGCCATTTTGGTGGAGACCCACTGCCGGCACTACATTAACATTAGCTGCCCCGCCCATGCTGCTGACACACTTGGGCTACACCAGAGGTCGCAAACGGATTTTGATTACTTACCCGTACCCGTACCCGGCCGCACCAGGGTCGCAAATGGGTACCCGTACCCGTACCCGGCCGGGTACGGGTACCCGTTCCCTACCCGTACCCGTACCCTACCCGAAATGAGTGACAAACGGTGGCTCACCAGTGACTCACGGCCTACCCGTACCCGGCCGCACCAGGGTCGCAAACGGCTACCCGTACCCGTACCCGGCTGGGTACGGGTAGCCGGGTATCGGGTAGGGTACGGGTATCGGGTACCCGGTTGCGACCTCTGGGCTACACCTATCTCTAAACCTTTATAAACAGTTTGCATTTAGAGGCTAACTCCCCCCTTTTTCCTGATGACGACTGCTTGTGTTGCGATCGAAACGTCGTGGTTTTTGTTTTATTTTTCTATCTACGCGACTTTACTGAAAGAACCAAATATCTTTGGAATTATACCAAATAGGATTATTTCCAAATCCATATCTCACTAGACTTAACCTGCTTTAACATGCTTAAGATGTTTTGGCGTTCACGTATATATTTAACACCATTGGAACCTCATTTGCCAGAAGAAAAAATATGATAATTGTTTTTTTACCCTTTTTATCTGGCAACAAAACTGACAACTTTTTTACATGGAGTCATGTTTGCATAGACCACAATACCTGCAGTCATAATGCAAACATCTGGTCCAACACCATCTGAGACTAGGCTCTAAGGAAAGCTGTCTCGGGTGTGGACCAATCAACTTCAAGGACAGTGCATACATTATCAGAGTTGTGTTTTTTGTTTACATTATGACTGCCGATATTGTGGTCTATGCAAACATGACTCCTTGTAAAAAAAGGCGTCAGTTTTGTTGCCAGATAAAAGGGTAAAAAAACAATTATCATATATTTTTTAGTTTGTTAAGTTGTTCAATCTCAGTGCAGCATTTTTCTAACCAAGGTGGTTGAGTGCAGTTGAAAGGTCCTTTTTCATTTTGAGGCGCAGGCGAGGAAGATAAACTATGCGATTTCCTGATTTCAGCTGTGACTCGGTGAGGTTGAGCAGCAGATCGGAGGACAGACTCTGCTCCAGGGCGGTCAGGTTGGTCGTCACTTCGTCAGGCAGAAATATCAACATGTCTTTGTCACCCTGGAACTCAAGTTGTGCAACCTGAAATCAGAAAAAAACAATGTCCTGTGAATGTTTACAGAATAAAGCTTCACCAAGTCTGAATACTCTAGTTCCAGTGTGTGGCTCGTTTGGGATACTCTTTCAGTTGTTTGAGGTTTTTTCGTTATTATGAAGGTAATATCGCTGAAGTGATAATCTAAAGGCATCAATCAAACTGTTAAGAAAAGTAAACGGGCTTGGGCAGGGCATGTTGCCAGAAAGGATGATGGGCAGATGCTACAAAATAATGATGGAGCATATCTGAGAAGTACATCCACCCAGGAGATGGAGAGATTAAATCTCCTCCTGTGCAGGATTGTAGGTGGATCGTTGCATTGATGAAGGACCATGAGGGATGACAATGGCTTGCAAATACCTTCATCCAGCAGTAGATTGATCGTGGCTGACGAGAAAATTATAGAGCATGGGACGGTGCATAGATAGTTTAGAAACCTACTCATTATTTTTTTTTGCCGATACATATTTAACCTGCCAGTGTGTGAGGTATCACAAGATGACTCTCTACGTGATCCACCAAACACCTCCAAGTACGCATAACCACCTCAGGCATTTATCTTGGTAAAATAATTAAGTTGATTCCAGCCATTGGTTAATCCACCGCTGGAGGAAAGCCTCCCCGTGTCATGTCCCTCATTGTGGTTGTTTGACCATGCTTCACCGAGTGTGTGCGCAGAAACGGATCAGATATTATTTCACACTGACGTTCGCCATGATGGAGACTTGCACTTGGGCCGTAGCACAATGCGCTAACCACTGCATCACTCGGCCCCACCATTTAATCATTATACTTTCATGACATAGATTAAACAAGACATCGCGTAAGCTGAAGTTTCAGTGATTGTTCCTTGGTAGTTTTACACTATTAGTAGTACAGATTCAATTGAATCCTTTCTTGTGTGAAAAGGCTGTCATCGGATGAGGTGATTGGATCGACTGAATCTGTTGGAATGTGAACCAAAATCAGCACATGTTTTGATTGTAAGGTTATGAGTTCGATTCCCATGTGGGGATATTGATTCAGGTTACTTATTTCTGACACTATTAAAAAAAACCTTCCTTCCTTCAACTTTTAACATCAATAATAACGGTGAAAACTACTTAGTTTTAATCCTGAATACACATTTTATAAGAGCACCTTCTCCACATGGGAATGGATCCCAACACCTTGTACAATGAGTGAGAGGTCACCCGACCCCTTACATTACAGCAGAGCTGGCTTTTGGGAGCTTGTTTTAAAATATATTGTACATGTATATACAACCAGGATCTGGTTTTGATGTGGAAAAATCGGACCTGACAACTTGGTTCAGGCCCATTCAGCGCACATGTGGCCAGTGAAATACAATATTACAATAAAATGTACTTATAAAATATCTAAATGTGACTGCATCCCAAATAGCTGTATGCAAAAAAAAACAGAAGAGGACGACATTTATTATTTGTAGCAAATGGAAAAATTAGGGGCAGGGGGGGGCTGTATGAGACATTTTTATAGATGGAAATGATCAGCCAGATTGTATGCCTAAGTTTCAGGCACTTGTTGGCAAACTTGATGCCAGTTTTTCTTTAGGAACACTGGTGGATGTGGTGTCTTTGTCAAGGATTTATTTTTTTGTTTGGCAGTATATTCGGTATATTGAGCCTCTTTGTCATGTACAGAAATGTAAAGTAAATCAAGTGTGGCATTTTAGGTCAATAAAACATTTAGTGATGCAGCTTACTTTGTATGGCAGGTATGGATGACGTCCTGCCTTTACTGGGTATATAGAGTCATACATCATGTCCACCATGGTTTTGTTTTCTTCGTTGATATGGAACCAGACTGGTGATGTATTATCTTTATAGAATTGCTGTTCCCACTTCCCTAAACACATAAATAATCCATAATACAGGGTTTTTTTTAGACATAGCTTCAGTACTTCGTTTTTAAAGTTAATTTCAAATGCCTTCTTACTTGTGAAACTATAATTGCAATGCTATGTTTTCCAATGTATTTATTTTAATGTCCACAGATAAGTTACAGCATTTATATTAACAAATATGCACCGCTATATAAAACATTACAACTGTCATAGAATGCAATATTCTTTCTCATTATTGAACACATTTGCTTGCACGATAAATAGTTGTATTCAATGGTTTAAATAAAGCAAGGTATTTTATGCAGAACATGTAAAAGTGGATGAATAGGAGGCTCATAGACGGCCTCGTGTGTCTCTCTTATACCCTTGAAGTAGATAGCACTCAGGAGTAGCATCCTTAAATTGCTCGGAAGCTCCTGAAGAAAATCTTTGATTTTCCCATCCGTCTTTTCTTCCACCCAACTATTTATTTTTTTTAGGTCTTTTTCTTCAGGACCATGGAGATTTTCTGGTTTTGCATGGTAGTTTTGTTCAACTACATCCAAAAATTCCTTTTTGATTTTAATGTCTGAAAAGAGAACACATTATGTTACTTCACAGATAATCATTCACAGCACATTGTCAATCCACTGCTGAATGAAGGCCTTCTGCATGCCACGTCGGTCAAGATGTATTTTTTAAAATCACATTTCCTCATTCCTAGTCAACGTGGGTAGGTTGATGGGGCTAGGTATTGTGCAGAACCAGTTCAGATATCGCTGACTGTTCACTGTGGCCAGGAATCAAACTCGAACCGCCTGAGCATATATTGCAGTGAGTGTGGTGCATCACCACACCACCTCTACTCTTTGGTTTTTTCGGTAAGTCACGTAGTTAAACCGCACCACCTCTTTGCTTTTTACAGTACAGTACTTTATGCTAGTTTTCGGTCTTGTGTCAATGCACTGCTGCACGAAGGCTTACCCACGCCGATATAACGGTTGAGGGAGTTGTTTGACCATACTTCACAACACTGGTTATTGTGGATTGGTGAAGTGGTTTGGATCGGGAGGGGGGGGGTCCACAACCAATTTGGATATCACCGACCACCAATGTTAGCTGTTGCTAGGACTCAAACTCAGGTTGTCAGTTTCATAGGACAGTGTGCACAACCACTTTACAAATGCTTCTTCATTTTGTGTTACATTTTTGTAATCATATCCCTTGGTCCGTTTTTATCAACACATGGAAAACAAAACATATTTACTTCTTGCTGCAAAGATGCGAGCTGCCATTTTGGACACACTTTTCCCAGAAGTGATTTTCTGGATGAGGTCACAGAATGTGCTGTGCACGTTGGGGTTGCGGAGATGAGAAAAGTAAAGAGTTTTGGAAAGGGCTTGTTCTGTAGCTCCATGAGCCCCTAGAACACAAGACACAATATCCAGTTTACTACCCCAGTCCAACGGTATGATTTAAATATACTTGCATCATTGATATTTTTGACTTTGAATGCAGAATATACAGTACATTTGCGTATACTTACAGCAAAATGTACTTAAACATAATTACTGTTGTTCATATGTATAAAAAATACTTGTACAAGTGGGATAAAAGTTAGTGACGCAGCTGTGATAAGACAGTGGAACACAGATGACGGGCCACGACATGGCTGTAATTTACCCTTCAAATAAGTACATTTTAGCTCAGTAATAGCTAGTCACAGTTATTCAAGATTGAAGTTTAACGTCAACAAATATACAGCCTTTCAATGTCATGGTTTGTCCTGTGATGTATTCGTGGCGGATTTGTCTGAAAAGAGTGCCTGATAACAAATGGTCTGACTTACATTACACTATGCAGTCCATTATTGTCACGGATGGTGCGTTGTTGGATGATCAATGAACATGCGTCAATGTGCTCACAAAAGTAGCAGCACACCATCATTGTTAAGCGAAAGTTGATGCAGAAGCAGCATCGGGCAGTACAGCCCGTAAATGGCAAGTACATCCATTATCTTCTTGGTTCTTTCGGTAAAGTCACGTAGAATTGAAATAATAAAATAATAAAAATAAAACATAATAAAATTATTCTCACGACGTTTCGGCCACAACGCAAGCAGCCATCCTCAGGTGGAAAACAGGTCTGCTTGTGTTGTGGCCGAAACGTCGTGAGAATTATTTTATTATGTTTTATTTTTATTATTTTATTATTTCCATTCTACGTGACTTTACCGAAAGAACCAAGAAGATGAATCCCTGCAGTCACGAAAGCTTTAAATCGAAATTTTACATCCATTATACTGTGCAGTGCGTTGCTATCACGGATGGAGAAACGGTATGTTGTTTAATGATCAGTGAACCTTTCGTATGTGCTTACAAATTAGTTATGCAGCAGTAGTGATAACCAGTGAAGCAGCCCTTACCAGCAGTAAGCATGGCAAGTACCAACGAAGTGGTCAGGGGAGACATGAAGATGTTTTCTCCAGGGCTTTCCTTGCGCAACGGCACGGTACAAATCGAAACCGAAGTTTGCTTGAGACATTGCAAGTCGGGTCATGGCGAATGAAGTCGTGGGTTCTACCATTTGCTGTGGAAAGCCATGTTCCTTTGAAATAAAAAAAGACAAACAATTGACACCAAAGTAGGCGATAACACTCTTCAATAGACTTCATGAATGTGTGGCATAATGTACGATCACCATCGCCATGTGTTTACTGCACGACGCTGTCGCGAGTTACCTTGTGTTTATTTCTTGAGGACGTTGCAGACGTCACCAAGAGAAGTAAAGTCAAAATCGGTAGCATTTTTTTTGAACTGAAGGGCTGGAAAATACAAAATATGGTTTAATACTGCTCAGCTTGTGTACATATTGTCCACAGTTGCATATACAATGCTCGGGGGACTCATTCCCGTTGAATCATTTGAATATGGTTTTACTAAGACATTTTCTTAAATATACATCGTTTATTTAACCAAAAACTAATTACATTTCTATTCTATATACTTTCATCTTACAAACAAAACATACACAGAGAAATACAAATGTAAAGGAAATAAAAAACTACTAAAGTTTGTTAACTGCCACTGTCTACCAATGCAACACGTCAGATTAGTTGAGTCAATGATTAATAAAACACATTCTTACAGTATAACCCAGCAAGGATTTTTGTTCACGTAAAGTAAGACATTTCTTGCATATTTAAATACAATCCCTGCTTTAAGTGTTGGGTTATTTTGTTAGAAGTTAATTGCTTACCTGACTTGTGGAGTAATGAATTTCCTGTGGCCCTGGATCCCACTGTTTTATGCCAGAGATCTTGGGTAAATATTTAGAGGGTCACTGAATAAACGTTTGTGACCTTTCAAAATTGCAGCCTTAAGCAGAATTGGCCTGACTGCTTATTGTGTAAAACACGCAAACGTATGTTTGTTACCTTATATATTACTTCTTTTTATGCTGCTTTTTCATTCAAGGAAAGTGGGGGGGAAAAAATCACTATTGTGGGACAGTGGTTTTTACGGATTTTTTAAGCCATGCTAAGTATTTTTCGTTACCGAAGAATATACAATTCTCTTTTACGAGAGTTCCCGTGTCTTCCATGTCTTTGAATCACAACGAGATGTCACGTTCACACACAAAGTGGTTTTAAGATCCCCAAAAATATCATAAATACCATCTTACTTGGTGTGTGTTGATGAGCTCTGGGAGTCTCAGTGAGGCCCATTTCGTTAACTATGGACAAATGGCTACCGTTTGTGTAAAGACGGAAATACATGTTCCTTTACGATGCAAGCCATCACTTGATCCTCATTTAGCTACTTTTGTTTGACATTAACATCAGCATCATTAGCAGTACTAATTAATCCCAGAACACATTTGATTACATCATGGGTTGTGTACATGATATTGGAGAGTTTACAACATTTTTCGGCATCTACTTTGCTGAGTTATTAAATAACACAAATTCTCGTTTTGTGTTTTTGTGTGTTTTTACAAGCTGACACGAAGGCTCCCTCCGATTAAGGAAGCCAAGCCAAGACTGCACAAGCTCTTCAGAGACTTCTGGTTCTACTGTGTCGTAATGGGCTTTGCTGTACAGGGTTCAGGTAAAATTCAATAACACGTTGTTCATTTGGTTAGTCTTTTTCAAAAAGTTTCCACACATGGCGCATATATAATGAATCACCCTTCCAGCGATATGATGAAATGTCACGATCCAAGGCTGTGGCTCGATTTAAGAATCGTTTACTTTTCACAGTCGAAATTGGGAGTGTTTCTATTTTATATCGTTTGCGTAGTTCTATTCACTCAATTAACCGAAGGATAACACGAGCATGTAATTTACAGAAATCACAAAAGATTAGCATTTCATGGTTTGATCCATCATGGAGAGCAAGAGTAAGAATAGATTTAAAGCGATGATATGCTGCTTCATGCCTATTGCACAATGATCAAAGTCTTTGCTTCGACTTACTGCATGTCTGCATATGTGCAATGAATATAATGTGAATATACCGTTCAGTCAACGAGTTAATTTTAATTTGTTTTACAACCAAAATGATTACTTCATTTTGATACATATACACTGCATACTTCAACGCTCCTAAGCCTATGCTGGCCACCATCACTGACGCACACCGACCCAATTGTGTTGAGGCCCTGTCAAAATAACCCCCACGAACAGCATTGCATAGGGATACCTTTATCCAGTGGTGGTTTGGTATAAGCAATGTACATTGCAATGTACATTGCTTATGATGTCAAATTTCCATAATAATTCTACAATTTAGTTGCATATACCTTCACCGTGATGAATGTAAAGGAATGGAAGATTAACATTAATTATTAAACACGTAAAATAATGATGCTTTGATTTTACATGTGGCGAAATGTATAAATAAGTTGTTCCTCCTTTGATATTACATACCAATACAATACCACTTGTTATTTCACTTTATGGCAGTGCACCCTGAAATGTAACTTGAGTAATCTATTTTTTCAAAATGATATCTGTAGTGTTATTGAAGTCATAATAACAAACTAAAATACAGGATTACCGTTTTCATGTACAGTATTTAAGTTAAGGTCCTTTACATTTGTAATCAAATCTAATTTATTAGCTCTATCGAATGTATATTTTAAAAGTACTGTCATTATTTTATGATGTATTATGCCCCTTAATTTTCAAGAAGGCTCAGTTTTGTTGCATTAATCTGCCAAATATATTAAATATATTCCAGATCAATTAATATGAATACCACGTGAAAAATCACATTTAAAAAATCCTTACAAAAATCTCATGCGTTGAACTGACACATTTAACAATGATCATGTAATCTCGACACCATTTACCTACATTTGCACTCCACTTTAAGAGTAATAAAACATAAAATCTTGACTTAAAGCTTTCGTGACTCAGGATTTCATTTTCTTTTCCTGAAGGCGACCGCTTGTGTTGCGATCGAAACGTCGTAGTTTTTTGTTGTTATTTTTCGTTATTTTCTTTGAACCTATCTACGTGACTTTCCCGAAAGTCCCAAGAGTATAATAAAACATCAGTTGCTTAATTCCCGGTCATGATGTTGTATTTGTTTTCACACTAGGGCTTTGGCCAGAGGAATGGTATGAAGGAGTTTGTGAAATCGCCACCAAGTCTCCGCTTTTGACCTTCCCAAGCGGCGAGCCACTGCGATCGGAGCTGCAGTACAATTCGGCTCTAAAAAATGACACCGTGTCTCCGGTAAGTCGACTCATCGGGATTTAATGGTTGGCGATGCTGGGCGATTGCCCAGGGTGTGCTACTTTTTAAGCTGGTGGTGCCAAAGTGAGAGCTGGGAAAGTTATTGAGGGCCACAAAAAGAGTGATGGAGTATTTTAGAGGTCTCGGAGAGAATTTTGTGAACCCGTCAATATATGAGGGAAGGCAGACATGCGTTGTAGTAACAATCATGTAAGAGCATACTTTATTTTTACACTATTCAGCCTGAGGCTGGTACTGCTACTAAGGGGCACTGGTGCTGTTTGTTCAGTCCAAGAGTAATTATGAATTTGAAGTGATTTAATGTCTGAACTGACCATTGTGGTGAAGTATGGTCAACAAAACCCTATGAGCAACATTGAGTGGGGATGCCTTCATTCAAAGAACTGGAAATAACAAGTGACTGAAGATGAACTTGTTAAAATGAATGTATTTTTTCGTATCTATAGCAATTAGCTTGATATTACATTAATGCACAATAATGAGTCAAGAATTTACACCAAATGGGGATGTAGAGAGGGTAGAATTGTGAAAAATATATATTTCAACATTTGGCTTTTACAATACACGCAGTATTGCTTTTCAATATAGTCTAATGTTAGCATACACATACAATGAGAAACATGTATCATTGTGAAGTATTTATGTTTTCTAGTTGCATTATCCTCACAGCTCACAAAAATGTAGTTAAATCTTGTAGAAATTGTAATTGTTGTCTCCAGCAAACCAACTCACAGTCGCGATGAAGCTGATTCTCGCCTTTTTCCCCGTGTGTCTCCTCCTCTCGCTGGTCTTGCACGACCGTTCGCTTGGGAGTGCTATGTCCCCTACTGGCCACTCGTAGTTTCACCTACAGCACGTAACATATGGCCATTTGGGAGAATCATTGTTCAGATATATTTCTCTCTCTGTATTAATTTGTAAAGAACTGATATTGATTGATGTAGTTGCAAAATAAACTTGCATTGCCGATAGCGGTTTATCGATGCATCAATTCGCCGATTAATATCGTTTCTTAACCCTCATGATTTGTTCATCGAACGGCATTTATAGGAAATTAATGTTTCCCATTTGTTGATGTTGTCTATGATTGTTTCGTGTGACCTTCCAGCCCCGAGGAGCTCCTTAAAATCACTAAAGTGTTGAAGAAAATAATCTGCACAGGAATGAAATCACTACCCGGAATTGTAAAAATGTTTACGAATCATGAAAGGGGGCGAGTCGATTACACCTCCAATTACTTATATTGTCCGCATTTTTGTTTTACCTAGCTGTATGTTGCCTGTGTGCTTCTAGGCGGAACTGACTGAGCTGCGGATGAGCAACACAAACCTTCTGGATCCAATTCAGGAAGTAATTGCGCTCATCAACAAGCTGGATTTCGCCATGTCCACCTACCTGCTGTCTGTGTACCGCCTTGAGAACATGCGGTCAGTTAAACTTTCACGCAACACACAAAACAGCACTAGGCATTTGTACATTATGCAAACACCATGGTCCTCACACCTTTCTTTCTCGTCATATGACAAAGATGACATTGTATAATGTGTGGACATGAGAACATTTTAAGACATTCACACTCACTTAACTGCTACAGTCCAGCACACTTTCTGGGTAATTGTTGATGCTTGTTTGGGACAGCTGTTTATGCTGTTCAAGAGGTGAAGCCAGTTTGGTTCAATCTGCAGTTATGACTGCACTGTGATAAGGGGCCATCCATTTAGTACGTATGCATGGAGGGGGGAGGGGGGGTTAACCAAAATGCGTACGCTTGCGTATGGGGGGTCTACTGACAATGTACGTACGCATAGGAAAAGGGGGAGGGGGGGTGAAGCCTCGATAAAAATGTCTACATTGACCTTCAAATGAGTTAGATAGTCCGGCGGTGGACTCTGTTTGCTTAAACACGTTAATATTATTAATCCTTGATCGTTTCTGCGTGGATTAAATATCGGCCGTTCTTTTGGATTCGGGGGGGGGGGGGGGGGTGCGTACAGGGAGGGGTCAAGTTTTTACAGATTTTTGCGCAAGTACTAAATGGATGGCCCCTAAAGTCTGTGACTTCAGCGTGGGGAGAAAAAAACATGTTTCACAAGTATAAAATTAAATATGAGGCATATGGGACAAATTAAATGTTGATGTGGTTCGACATGTAGTTGGCATACGTGTGACACAGCTGATGCTGCCAATGATGTCATCAAGCACACACCCCCCCCACACACTATTACCTCTCATCCAGCCACACGTGGGAACAGAATTGAATAAGTTATAGTTTTAAATGCGTGTATACATGTAATTTACGTGTCATTTGACACCATGTACACCCTTGAAAAATAGATTGTGTTCATCCCCCTTTCAATTCTTTGTCCTGGTAGAGACAGAGTGTATTGTACGTGCATTTCTACAATGTCACTCCTCACCACTTATCTTGCTCCGTCCACATTTTCTCATTTTCAAAGCAGCATGCAACTTCTCTTTATATGATCTTAATTAAATTGAATATTTCAGAACATTCCACTGTCCCGTTGTCAGACAATGTAATTATAACGATAAGAATGA